CCGGTGGTCAGCTTTGTGGTCTGGCAGCCGTTCCCGGGCCACGATTTCCCATCTCCGACTCAAGCTTCCCCTCCTCACACAAGCTAGTAGCCTGTGGCGACTACAAAGGTAGGGGGTCACTTGAATTGTATAATCTCGCCCCATCCAATAACAGCGACATGATCAACTCGTCCGGGTCGTCGTCCGTGGTGTCAACGATGTATCACAACCGACAAAGTGTCGCCAGATCCAAGGTGCTATCCGTCGAATCCCACGGTACCCGCATTGTCTATTCGGATGGAGATGGAAATATCAAATGGGTGGAGCGGGACGGCCGGTCCGAAGTCCGTCGCCTCAACATCAACAGCTACCAACCTCCACACCACCACCACCATCATCATGGTCACCACCACCATAATACTCGGGTAGGGCCCACCCATCGCCGCCACCACTCCAGCGCGACTGCACACCAGCCTCGCGCAGCAGACGGCGACACCGACCACGCCACCGGTCTCTGGGGCGGCTTGTCCCGATCTCACAGCGAAGGCGAAGTCGCCCGCAAGATCCTCCCCACCGGCGGCAGCCTGACAGGCGATGAGCTACTCGTCTGGACGGGCGAACACATCGGCCGAGTTCGTTTTACCTCCACCAGCACGAATTTTGATGACGAGGAGGACGACGACGACGACATGTTGATGGGCATGGACCTGGACGATGCTGCGCGTGAGGAGCTCCGAGCCAAGCGACGAGAACTTCGCCATCGAGAAAACGAATACGCGTATACAATGCGCAGAGCGCTGGAGAGACAGGCTGATGAGGTGCGACGCATGGGAGGACTTGGCCTTTAGATTAGATTGATGAATCATTTCCACAAGCACGATATATTACCCGGCTAACATTTGTTTTTGATACCAATCAAATTTTCTCTTTACCTCTCGTGGCTTCAGCAAATGAGCTTCGCGGGTCTTCTGAGTTTTCCTCATCCGTGCGTGTGTATGTGTGTCTGTCACTGGGACTTTGATTTTTGTATGTACTCTGCTGCCTGCTTACCTACAGTGCGTGATAGACCACTCTGCTTTGGCTATTTGTCTCTCTTGCTGCCAATGTTGCGACTTATACAGTTTTATGGTACAAACCCTGCATTTGCCTCGAATTTCATGAATTACTAAGGTGGTTAGAATGCTGCAGTACTGCAGTCATGTACGAGGCGTCCGTCTTGCCCCCCCTCCCAACCCCTCCCCCCAAGTAAAGGGGGGGCGTGGGTAAGGATTGAAACATCACGAGAGCCAACCGTGACCACCTGTCCCTAAACATGAATGATCACCATATCTAACAATCGAGATATCACTAGCAAACACAAAGGGGAAAGAAAGAAAAAGGTGTAAGCGTGTGATGCTAGCTTGTTTTCCATTATGTTTTTTGGTTGCCAAATCCCTCCAAATTCCACAACTCCAATCCCATCATTATTGCATTAATTCGTACATTAAACCATAAGGCCACAAGCCAGACGCAACTCGACAAAAACACAAACAAGAAAAAGCTATAATGTGGAAGCAAACCCCTGCTAAGGGTTAGGTTGTTCAGCTATCAGGCTTGTACACAGCGTCCTTGCAGAGCACCGCGACCTTTTTGAAGAAGCGCCGCCATTCCAGCGGGTCGCCCTTGACTTTCATGAATTCGATTTCGGAGAGACCCTCCGACACGCAGTCGATCAGGACCTTGCCCTGCAGCGTACACATGCGCCCGTCGCGGGTGATGATCCGCAGCGTGGCCGAGGTATCCCCGGCGGATACGGCGGGCACGGCGGGCACGGGGACACCCAGACGATGCAGCGCCTCGCAGATCAGGGGCACTAGGATTTTGAGCTCCCACGTTGAGAAGAACCGCGTCATAGCACGGGCGGGGACGATGTCGTGGAAGCGGATGGCCTTCTGGGTGCGACTTAAGGGCACGGAGGGGTGCGGGGAGAATTGCGACATGGACGGTTCGTCTTCCAGGTGGTCGAGGGGCTGGGTGTCGTTCTTCCCGAACAACAACGACGGTCTGCCCATGGGCTGGGTGGAAGAGAATGCGTCCGCCACCTGCGGCGTGTCCCAATCCACTAGCATACCCCCGCGCGGCATTTCCGGCTGCGTGGATGAGATCCTCTGATCGGCGTCGTCGTCGAATTCATCTCCCATGTCCATCAGGTCGGTGGTCCCTTCAAAGCCCTGGCTCCCGCCGCTGCCGTGCGGTCGCGCGAAGGGATCTTGTGTAAAATCGATATGCAGAGACTCGAACATCGTCGTGGCCATGTTGATGGTGTCTCTGAGCGCGCCGTTGCGCGATAGGTATTTGTTCGGCCGGGTGTACCAGGGGTGTCTGCGGACGTCCTCGAGAGAGAATCGGTTGGCTGGATCCACGTTCAACATGCCGCGCAGGAGTGAAAGCGTAGCGGGCGGCAACTGCTGCCACAGCTCGTCGGTCGTACGCCCATTAGTGGCAAGGTATTCTTGGTACTCGTAGCTCGTTTCCGTCGGGCTGTCCCACGGGGTGTTGCCAGCCAAGAGGACGAACAAGACGATGCCGCACGACCAAATATCCACCAGGTCGGGTCGGTAACCCCTCCCTTTGATTTGACTCCTGCTGCTGCACGAAATCACCTCTGGTGCAATATACGGCGGGCTACCGCAGAAGGTGGTGGAGAGTTTGGTCACGCCTTTGTACTCGAACAGCGTGGCCAAGCCGAAGTCGGCGATTTTGAGATTGCCATCCGCGGCCAGCAGCATGTTCTCCGGCTTGATATCTCTGTGTCCCACCCCCTTGGAGTGCATGTAGCCTACCGCGCTTATGAGCTGGGAGAAGTAGACGTGCGCGATGTCCTCGCCCACGCCCTCGTCGGCCTCGATCTTGTCGAAAAGATCGCCACCCTCGGCCAGCTCCATTGCAACCCAGCGCCACACATCGTCCTCGCCGGTCTGGAAGAAAGAAATTATGTTATTATGGTCGCCAATGTGCTTGTGTACCGTCGCCTCCATCTGCAATTGTCGCGCGCTGACTTTGCCATGGCGAGCGGCATATTCCTTGTGAATGAACTTGACTGCGAAGACCGGACTATCTGTGTGGGACGGGACGGCTTTTTTGATGCTAAGGAAGTTAAAAGACAATTGTTAGCAAGATGGTTTTAAATTGCAAGAACAATCGAGAAAGAGGGCTCAGGTTCAAGCAGACCAGGCATAGGCACCCTGGCCGATCGTCTTGGAGACTATTCGGAAGGGTAAGTCATTCGGCAGCGGGGCTAGTTGCGAGTGATGCATCGTGGTGCTGGCGAGCAAACCCGGGTTTCCGCGGGTGATCCGATAGTCTATGACAGGTCAGATGGAAGGAGGTGCAAATCGAGAAAATTGTCCGAGTTTTCAGCAGCTACTTCTAGCTAGAATCATGCGGTGGTGAGAATCCACGCAAGGGTGAGCGATGGGAGAGCGAAGCTGGAGAGAAACGCGCGCAGCTCCGGCACGCGAAAGCCACTTTATCCTCATTGGGAAGTCTGTTGACAGGCTGCCGGTCGCAGGCATCCATTCCGACTTGTGCGACTGTAAGAGTTTCTTTGACAAGTACGAGTCTCTTGGATGTTTGGAGGAGGAAGAAAATGGTTTTCTTTTTACGCTCGGGTGGCCACGGCAATCTTTGTACTAGTCGGGGGCACTACCTGCATAAGTATAGTTGGTGGTTTCAGGACCTTATTTGACCTTATTTATACACTCACTCACTCACGTCTCTTCCCGGAGAATAAGGGTAGCTCACCGCTAGAAAATCATTAAGGTACGAGTCTAAAAGGCAGTCCCTTCATCGAATATTCTTTGCCCACGGAGCTAGCATCGACTACTTCCAGGGTTGCTGTATGCTCATGGTAACTGTAACACCATTGGAGGTTTCATTATGGTTTTGATGAATCAACAACCAACAGGTGCAAATGTACGAGTACCATATTTTAAGACTAGTGGATGTAGTCCTACCGGTGCCGTGACAGCCCATAAACACAGCGTCCGACTTGCATAGAGCCCCTCAAGGGCCTTCTCAGCAAGCCACGGCGCAACGCTCCGCGCACGGTCCTCAATTGTCTTGCGCCGCTGTAATGTGCTGAAACCCGATATCGTTGTTAGGGAGCTGTTAACTAGTCCCTGCCGCCACTTCTGATGAACAGGCCCATGATAACGTTTCTCTGTTCTCTGAAGAGATTCTAAAGCTGCGCACATGTTTAAAGCCTTAGCATGAACTGAAGAGTTGACAAGGATGGAGAATTAACCGTGTTGATTGATCACATGCATCGATCAGCGCGGAGCCACTGGCTGACCGCCCAGGGAGCAGCTGCTACGTATTGTGCCGAGCTCTGGCTTGATCCGGCAGCCAAAATAACACAGATAACACAGGCTGTACGGAGTAGTGTCTAGTGTTAGTACGTACAGTACTTGTTGTATGGTTGTTGTATGTCCAGACAGGCATGGGCTTTCTTTCTTCGTGTGCTGACTGTGATGCCGTCATCAATTCAAGATGACTGGCACTGATAGAAACAGCGTCATGTATACGACTAACATCACCACCGGTCTATCAACTGAGAGAGTCAGATGGAGGCTCTGGAGATCAGATGCGGTGGTGGATCATCAATGGCCAGCGAGCATCAATCAGGGTCATTCATTGAACGGTTGGTTGCGCTGCGTTGCCCGGCGGATGAGGGCGTAAACAAAAAAAACCAAAGGAAGAAAACTAACCCCAATCAATCATCCAACACTCAATCACAGTTGTCTTTCCCCCACTTAAGTTCTCTTTTCCCTAAGAACCCAGACTACTTCCCCTGTTTCCCATTTTCAAAGAAAGGATCTACAAAACTGCTCTAAGCCAGACATACATACATACTTTTGCTGCAGCTCTCCGTTCGTCCAAGGTTCTGATTCCGATCATTCTGGGGTTCTTGCGGTGGGTCAATCCGCTTCCCCTCCGGCCAACTGTCGCGCTGCTTTCGGTTACGCTCCCATTCCACCACCAGCAACCTACCTCATTATCTCTTGTTCCTCGCTACTGCTAAGTCTCGAAAGCTGGCATTTTTCCGGAACTTCTCTCTGCATCACTAGTCTTACCCATCTTTTCGACTCTCCTTCCCATCACCTTCCCTTCGACCCTCTCCTTCACAATGGACTACACCATGGAAGACACTCAGAACTCCGCTCCTGACGCTCATGAGACCTCCAAGCTCGGCTCCTCAGCACAAAGGAGTGACACTCAGAGCGTCACCAAACGGTCCGTCACCGCATCCTGAGACGCATTTGTCGATCATCCCCGAAGTCGCTCAGATACTGACCGTCCGACTGATTTCTAGTCTTCAAGCTGAGCTGATGCAACTCATGCTCTCCCCCTCTCCGGGCATCTCCGCTTTCCCAGACGCCGACGGCAACCTGCTCTCCTGGACCGCCACCATTAGTGGTCCAACCGAAACCCCCTACGAAGGACTGACCTTCCGACTCTCGTTCGCCTTCCCCAGCAACTACCCCTATGCTCCTCCTACCGTTCTCTTCAAGACCCCCATCTACCACCCCAACGTCGACTTCTCCGGCCGCATCTGTCTTGATATCTTGAAAGACAAATGGAGCGCTGTGTACAACGTCCAGAGTGTACTGCTCAGCTTGCAGAGTCTGCTCGGGGAGCCCAACAAGTATGATGCCATCCATCCGATGTTCCGGTCGAGGACCTTCACAATGCTAATACACCCACAGCGCGAGCCCCCTCAACGCCCAAGCCGCCGAGCTCTGGGATACCAACCAAGAAGAATACAAACGACACGTTCTTGCCCGTCATCGCGACATTGAAGATATCGAGTAAAGAGTCCAGGAGAATATGTGTTTTGATGTTGCGGTCGGTTCCGCAAACAGAAGAGGAAAATCAGGTTGCATTGCATAACTGGGGTTGTGTTTGGGGTACTTTCGTTTAGGATGCGATCACTGCACAGTGTCTCTCCTGGGACTCTTTCATAGCAGGTCCCGGGGTACACCTCTTTCTTGTCATCTGGGGGTTTTCTGGAGTTTATGCGTTTGGGAAGGGCGCGAATTTGCTATTTTGCTTCGGTGAGGATGGACCAGCGGTGTGGGGATTGGAAGGCTATAGGTCCCGGGAATCGAATACCCTACTTTCTTTTTTTAGTCCTGCTTGGGATCTTCGGGCCCATTCCTCAGCTGTTTGTCATTCTTAAATTGGCTGCAAGGCATGTGTGTAAATGAGCGGCCATGAAGTAAGTAGTCAGGCAAGGATTTCATTCATTTTTGAACAAAGCTACAAGCTACCCACTCAAGGCAGCTCTGAGCTCCAACTCACAAGAAGGTATCTTTAATCTCAAGAACTGCAATATCAAAAAGCGGCAAGACATGATGAAGATGGTCCCTTTCTTGATCTAGTAATAACTTAGCAGGTGACACAGTAGCGAACAACATCCAAGTAGCCATCCAGAGTGTTACTCCCCTACGCAGCTCTCCAGTCTAATATAGATAGGCCAAGTTCAAATCTTAGCTACTCAAATCAGACCAAAACAAGCCCCGGTACTAGAGGAAACTGAAGTTCCCAAAAATACTCTACCTCGTCCTGGCAAATTTATTACTCCAACAAGTGATCAACATACATCCCTGCAGTTGCTGCACTGCCGAAGGCAGTGATCGCCCACGTTAGCATCACCCTAAATGCCACGCGATGGACATTCCCGGGCCAGCTGGGCGCCGGCTGCCGACAGCACGCCCCGATCTGCAATGTACTGTACCTGGCTATCAGCTTCGAACATGGGAGATGAATCCCGTGTCGAGATTCGGGCTTGCAGGCAATTGCAGGGGGTGATACCATTCTTTGGGGAGCCTCTCGTTAGAGACTATTACGGTGGTCAATTCATCCTCTCTAAGGTAGGACATGTGTTAGTACAGTTCTCTAGGGTAAAAGGAGCATATATTTCACTCTCGCCCGGCGAATCTTGTCTGCTTTACTTTACTGGCTAGATGCTTTGAATGGGGCACCCTCTTACACGTACAGAGGTGCCCTATGTTCAGGTTTGTTATCTTGGGATATCAGGTAATCTCTTAAGCTTTCGATTGTCTCATACCGTCGATATCAAGGTAATCTTACTTGGTTACTATTTCTAGTGGATGGCTTCCGGAACCGGCAACTTGCCGTATGCGGCAGCCCTGAGGTGCCCCGGGCCCGGGGCCTGAAGTGCCGAGCATTGAACATTCCGCGGGGACTTGTAGTAGAAGATGGATGGTGCTGTAAGGCAAGGCTCAGCCAATGCCGTCTAAACTAAGGTAACCTTAACTTGTGCAACTGGAACAGATTGGAATGGTGACCACTAGTACTACTAGCTCAATCACGGTTAAACTCCGACTCGCTCATGAGAGCGGGGCAATCGAGATTATGACCTCATGGGTTCCGTTGGCTGCGAACAGTTCCAATAGTCGGCCTAGTTCCTGAATCCTTTCCAACCTTAGTTAAGGCACTCAAGAGCTCAGCAGATGTGCGAGAAGCTCCCATTTGATGTCCTCGATTTGATCAACAATGGCCGCCGATGACAAGGAGTGGGAACTAGAGGAAGGGATCCCTCAGGTTGAAGACCCTTTTATCCAACAGTACTTGAAAGGACGGGATTCGCTTATTCTGCAAGAGCAGAAACAGCGACATGGTTAGTCCCCCAAGCACTTCGACCACTGGCCAAATCGATCTCGACTAACGAGTGTGTTTCAGACTTCAACCTCCGCAAAGCTCTGACCCCAGTCGCCGCTAGAGCTTGCAAGATTGTGTCCCAAATCCGCGATCGGGAGTTGACTCGAGCCTCTACGCCTTCCTGTGGACTACCGGCTCTGGACTGGGAGCAGGTTCGAAAAACCGATCTTTGGAAGATCGCGCAGAGAATGCCAAAGGGGTCCTTGCTGAACGCCTCCATTCATGGCCTCATCAACGTGGATAAGCTAATCGACATCGCTCTTACCACAGCGGGGCTGCACATCTCTAGCCCTCAGCCTTTATCATCTGAGGAAGCGCGACTCAAATCCCCCGTCACCTTTCAGTATGCTTCATCTTCAACACAAAGCGTGAAGCACAGTGTCTCCATATGGTCGGCTGCCTATGTTGCTTCGGAACTTATCCCTGTTCAGCAGGCAGTCTCTTCCTTCCCGGATGGCGGAGAGATCGGGTTCCGCGAATGGCTAAAGAAGCGATGCACCCTTGGAGACGAGCAGTCGAGCGACGCTTGCCGTGGTTCACCGATCATTGACTCGCTGCTGAGTTATGAGCCCATTCTGCGTTCCTGCCTGAGAGACGTCTTCGCCCATCTGGCAGCGGACGGGGTCGACTATGCCGAATTCAGGCATACTTTCGCTCATGTCTATCGACGAGAAGGAACCGACGCGCCCGACGCAGATCAAAGCGAATGGTGCCATGTGTTTCACCAAGAATTACGGCGTTTCCAGAGCACGGACGAAGGGCGCGACTTCTACGGAGCGCGTATCATATGGACTACCAGTCGTTCATTGTCGAACAGGGAGATCGTGGAGAACATGCAAACCTGTCTCTTCGCAAAGTATGACTACCCGGAGGTTATCTGTGGGTTCGATATCTCGGGGACAGCGAGGCCGCTGTCGGACCTCGTGCCTCTACTGTTCTGGTTCCGCAAAGAGTGCATGGACGCAGGACTGGAGATCCCTTTCTTCTTCCACGCTGGCGAGTCGGCGCGTGACGAGGCGCGTGCCGACCAGGACTTGTACGATGCGATTCTGCTGGGGACGCGGAGGATCTGCGACGGATCGACACTCTACAAGCACCCGTTGCTGACCGAGTCGGTCAAGGAGAAGAAGATCTTGGTCGAGTACAATCACAATCCGACCTTCAGCCGGAGCGAGCACGTTCTTCCGGCCCTGCTGTCGCGGGGTGTCTCGGTCGCTCTGTGTGGCAATCATCTGTCTGCTGGTTTCGACGGGCGTGGTGCAGAAGGGTTCACACAGGTAATCTGGAGGGTGCTTCTCGGTGATGATGACCACGCCGATCTTGCAGGACTGGCAATGCTGGTGGAGAACTCGATTCGGTGGAGCTCCTACGACGATCAGCCGACGTGTGAATGGCTTTCTGAGATTGGGGAAGGTATCCTGGGTGAGAAGGTCAAGGCACGCCGTTTGCAGGAATGGTGGGCGAGGTTTGAGCAGTTTTGCGAGTGGGTTACAGTCACATTTGCGGAGGAAGGCAGTGATGGATAATTGATGAATCTTGTATCATTGGGCCACGATTATATTCCTTGCTCAATTGTATCACGTAATGCTATTATATGAAATGGTTGATTCTAGATTGACTATCAACCTACACTACCTAGTACCTTCCGCCGGGTGAGGCCTTTGCCCCTCCACAGGTCGGAGCACATACCTGGACATCCCCTCCCAGATCTGGGAAGCATCAGTCACGCCATCCGGCACATCCAAAACAAGAAGTTCAACACGACCGGGTACAACAAGATCTGGGTCCAGTAACTCGATTGGAGTTCCGAATAGCAGGCCCCCGGCCTCCTCAGAAACAGTAATCAAAGGTTCCGGGTCAGATTTCTCGAACTCTAAAAGCAGGTCTGCCGCCTCCTCGAACCCCTGCTCCCTTGCCATATCGAAGTCTGTCAGTCCGCGTGAGCCCCGCTGTCAAGCAACAGGCGCAGGATCCCCAGACGCTTCCACTTGACAGCAAAACCAACCGGGGTATACCCATCCATCTGGGGGCTGCGATCCGTGCTCTCCCAGATACACCCCAGCCTCGTAGAAGCACCGTGGTCAAGCAGCATCTTCACTATATCATAGTGACCGGCCCAAATCGCCACGCAAAGGGCGCCTTTACCATAGAGCCGGAGATCCAGGCCATAATCCAGCAGAACCTGGAGCATGGCAATGTTATTCGTGTCCGCGATATAGCATATGCCATGGTCCCGGTGCGGCATTCCAGCCCTGCTGCAGGAAAAGCTTTACGAGGTGCAACTGATCGCCACAGATCGCTGCTCAATCGGACACGGCCGGCGACGGTACGGGCCAGGGATTGCGCCCTGCTCCACCAGGCGGGGCACAATGGTGTAATACTCGGCCTCGAGGGCCACGTTGAGCGCTGAAGGCCACGTGTCTGGTGTCGTCGGAGACGGCCAGTCCCTGTAGGTGCGCGAATCGAACGGGGCACGCCGCTGGCCCACCAGTAGATCAACCAGCGGGCCGTCGTGGGCTCGGAGGGCCCAGTGGAGGAGCGTCCGCAGTTGATCTAGGCTGGCGGCTTGGTTCGGCCGGTTCTCTTCGAGCATGAGCTGGAGAGCCGCGGTGTGGCTTCCCTGCGCTGCTTCTAATAGGGGATTCTCGGGCGGGAAGAAGATCCATTGCTGGCCGACGCTGTCCTCCCAGATCTCTTCCTGGCGTGACCAGGTGACGATGCTGGCGCCGGCGGCTAGTAGCTTGGCTATACGTGAGAGGTTTCCCTTCTGCGCGGCCCAGAGTAAGGCCGTGCTTCCGTGGTGCTGGACGTTATGGGCGCAGAGATGGCTATGTAGTGCTCGGTAGCAGCGCGCGTTGACTTGGGCTAGATGGTAGATGTCTGGTTGAGTGGCCAACTGCTGGGCCACGAGCAGAAGGAGCTCGTCTGGTAGGCGGCTGAAGGAGGTCATGAAGTATGGTGTGAGTGGGGTTGACTTGCTAGGTGGTGCTGACAGTAGACTGGAAGAAGGATTGATAGTTGGTGGGCTAGCATAGTCAATGATAGTTAGGGGCAATGGGGTGGATTCCAAGTTGCAACTAGCTTCTTTAAATGTCCATGGCAATTTGCGTATCTAGTTGATGAAAGGATATATGCCCCTGCACAGATCTAGGGCCTGGAACCATTTCATCTAATGCCCCTGGTAGAAGCGCTCCACCCCGCCGGGCCGAGCCTGCCAGGATCATTGATACAAACATAGGAGGCGCGCCAGAACCGGGCTTTTTTGTAAGGTTGCTAGTGCTCAGCTCAGCTGGGAGCTTCACTTTCCCATTCCGCCCTCTAAGATCTTCTACCACAGCTGAAACATCATATTGATAGCCGGATGATAGTGACCGTGTCTTCTTCGCCTCCCTACGCGATTGTCTACCTGAATCCAAGAAGAAGGAGCTGCACTTCCTAAGGAGGGTCTGATTGATGCAACCTTCAAAACAAGCGCCTCTGCTGTCTATCCGGATAGTAGTTACGACAAAAAAGACTCTACTACAGGACCATTAGAGACTACATCCTTTAATAATCTAGCCCACCTCACATTCCGTAATAAGTATGGGATTAAGGTTGACTACATGCCCAGTAGCGACTACAGCGAGGTTCTACTAGATTCCAGTCCCTTCCAATGTTCTTAAGAAGTGGTATTTGGATCTTTAAGGTCGACGCGCGAGCTGGAGATGTAAATAATACGTGCCTGTTTGCTATGAAACTGACACAATAGTTAGAGGGGCGACTAGATTAGAAGATTTGGAAGCCGCGGGAAGGCCTTTTGATTCAGTAGTATGTCAGCGATTGGGCGTGTCAGTTGCAGGATTTATTCAAGAGAGTCAGGGTCTTCTTCCATTGGACGTGACATTCGCGTGTAATTGCTAAATATGCACGTACAGCGGAAACGGTCCCTAGGACTACTTGGACCGTTAGATTCATCCTCGGTTGGTCTATAGCCCGATAAATTGAAACTACAATTAAATATTTTAGTGTCTTTTCAGCAGGAGGAGTTGCGGCAGAACAGGGCTGTGTTTTGCTGTGTAGACATAGACCAAACAGTTGATGATGATGATGATGATGATGATGATGTTCTATATGCTGGCCCCTCGCCGTGGCGATATGCAGGGATCCACTATCTACACTCTCTATGACAGTACGGAGTACATCCTTTAAACATGGACCATCACTTTCCTGACAAATTTAGAGCCTCGAGGCCTGTGTTGGCCGGTGCCTGGGTTTCGAAGTTGTGTTCTGCGATGGGTCAACCTCCTAGCTGGACTCGATAATAATCATTAAAGCTTCTGATGACCAGTTGGGAATTCCAACCTCAGGCAACGACTGGATTGTGGGTTTTGTCGTGCCTTGAGATTCACTATTGCCGCAGTTCACTGGCTGTGGTAGTCATAACTTTCCCCTCTGGACTTAAAAACTCATAAATTTAAATGTATCATCATCTTCAAGAACAACAAGAAAATAAACCAACGTAGGTGTGAGTTGTCATGATGTATGTGGTTTGGGTTAGGTAGTTTGTTGGCTAGCCCAAGCTTCTCCGCCTGACTATCGATTGCGGTCGATCATCCACAATCCATCCTTATCTTTCCTTCTCCTCTATTCCGTACTCCAACTCAAGTGACTGGCTCCAGTCACTCCACCTACCAACGGGACTTAGCGTCTCTTCCGCCCCATTTCCCCCCGAACGTCATTCTCCCGGCCTCGAAGCAATCCGCATCATCTCCCGAACTTACGTGCTCGTGCTGCTGCGACTGCTGTTGTGGTCCTTTTGCTTCTTACTTTCTGCTCCCTGCTCCCTGCTGCCTGCTTCCTGCTGCCTTACGGCTGCTTGCTTCTTCTTGAGCCCCAGGCATCTTTCACCCATCCCCCTTTCCCTTCCCCCTTCCTATTGCCTTGTTCTGTTTTTGCTCAGATGACTGTTGTGATCCTCAAATGAGCCCCCCGCCGGCTCCCTCCGCCCGAAAATGGCCTACTTCTTGCCTTCCTTTTTCCAGAAGCGATTGCTCCGTTATGCTTTATCTCGCCTGGAGCTAGTCGATACTGAGGCTCTGGACTTGGATAGTCTAGGGATTCGATGGGGACAACGCAGTACCGTCGAACTGCGGGATATCGGCTTGAGGCTCGATGTAAGTGTAACGGTCTTTCAAACGGCCGTCCAACTGCTCCGGTCCGCCTGTGTCTCAAATTCTCAAATCCGACATTTGACATTCTTCATCGCTCATTTCCACTAACCTTTTCTTTTTCCCAACTTCGTTTAGAAACTAGCTGCCCTACTACATCTTCCTGCCTCAAGCAAGCTCCTAAGCGCCCGTGTCCGATACCTGAAGATCACCGTCCCCGCGGACATCTACAGTAGCGGTATAATATGTCAAGCCAGCGGCATCAATGTACATCTGAGACTACTCTCGCAGGAAGCATGTCCTTCTGGGCAAGGGGACAGGGCCCCTGACTCACCCCACACCTCTAGCCCGGACGCATTCATTCCCAACCCTGCCGATCTCGCACAGTCGTTCCTCGAAGCTGAACCCAAGGAGGAAAAGGATGAATTACAAGCGGCCATCTCCTCTAGGTCCCAGGTTCTGCATCGCACATCGGCGTCGATCAGCGATGATGAAGAGGAACTGGGTCTCGGCAACGAGACTGTGTCCTTGCCCAGCTTTGTTGCCGCATTTCTCAAAGGTGTCGTAGATCGCCTGCAGGTTCAGGTGGATGACATATCCGTGCGAGTCGATGTGGAGATGAAGCAAGATGGGTCTATTAAGAGGCAGCCAGAGGATAGGCCCGATCTGATTACTGCATTGCTGAGAGTTGGTCAAGTGAAGGTGGACGCCGTCTCCGCGCCTCCTGTCACAGATGGAGATCGATCGCATAAAGGAAGACGATTGATCTCGCTCTCTGACATTAGTGTTGCGTTGATATCGGAGCCAGTTGTCTTCGCCAACTACGCACGATTCGCCGCTCCTGCCTCCCCCTCGACCCTTGTCCAGGCGATGACAAGTCAGCCTCCGAGCCGAGTCTCTTCCCCTGCCCCTGGACCCTCCTCGGGGAGCTCCACTCTCGAAATGACCAGATCAACTATACTTGAGCCATCGACTGGGCTTGTGGATTCTCAACGGTTTGACCGAAGTGCGCCCGAATTGGAAGGATCCGTGTACACCTATGATGGGAGGTTTTCAGATGCCGACACGGAAGAGGGAGAGACCCGGAGTTATGGTTACTTGGAGGAGTCGCAAGACTTCGCTGATGATGACAAGCTGCTGGACAACCCTGCCTACCTTGATTCTGTTATCAACTCTCAGATTCAAGACGACGAATTAGATGCACTGGAAAACCTGCCAATAGGAACTAGTCATTCGGCTGCAAGCAGTGGGCTTGTTCCGCGGCCGCTACAGTTACCCGCACCCGGGACAACAGAACCAGCTCACGACACACCAAGTGCCATGATTCTTGCACCGAGGCCACAAATGCCAGGAGTACATGAGCTTGCGCGTTCTCCAGATCCTAGCGCGCCCCAAACGCGATCCACTCTACCTGCCCTCATCACGGAACATGATCAAACTCCTGAGCCATTCCCACATCTTCAGCCATCACTACCTACATCCGCGCCACCTTCGGAGACCGACAGTTCGAGCTCAACATCTGGGTCTTTCCATCAAGGCGATCTCAGTGAATCTCGGCTCTTCTCTCACGACGAGGCACAAAGCATGTACATGAGTGCCATTAGTCATGGTTCTACATCGCGAAGCTTCAGGCCGAACATGCCCGGTGCTTGGGATTCCTCTGAATCTCAGGTCATGAGGGAGTCCGTTGCAAAGAACGCAATTTCGGGTAGCTCAGAGGGTGGACATGAGCACGACGACCATGACGGGACTTCTGTATCAACACCGAAACTCACACCTCAGTCTGAGCCAGATTTATCTCAATCACAGTCAACTGAGCAACAGCAACCAGACAATGACTCTCAGTTTGATCCGAAAGAGAGACCATCGGTTCGGGTCTCAACTGAAGAACATAAGTCAGCTGACGTCGCGAGGAAGTTTTTCAGTATTGATAGGATCCAGATTTCGATTCCATCTATCGATTCTAACCAGGGGGATAATGAGGCCGAATCCACAAGACCACATCGACATGCCATGAATGGCAACTTGAAAGAATCGGCAGTTAACCTGCAGGACTCTCTAGCCGAGGACAGCTTATTAAACTCGTTGATGCGATCTCGTGGTGATTCGAACACGGCTGTTCCTCCTCTCAATGATGCCAAAGATGTGAATCAGCATGAACATAAATTGGGAGATCACATTGGTTTGGAGGTATTGTCTGCAGAAATTCAATTTGACATCGCAATCGGTTGGCTTGTTGTCAAGGTCGGACAAAGAATCCTTAGTGCCTTCGCTGGTCCGGCTGATGACACGACACGAGAGCATCGTCCGCCACAGGAATCACAGGTAGCGCAGGTCTTTCGAGTCTCCCTTGATAGCTTCGCGATCAAATTCGTCGACCACGTCCCAGGGCACGCATATCCTCCTGACAATGACTCGGCGTTCATTGCCCAGAATCAGGAAGAGATTCTGCTCCAAGCGGTGGTCTCGGGCTTCAATGCTAATTTCGCTGTGAACAGTGATACTACTACGCTACACCTGGATGTGGCCAAGTTCATGGTGGGATTCGCACATGAGGAACTGATTTCTTTCAGCGAAGAACTCAAAATGCGCGAATCCACTAGGGATGTCACTTCATCAAGCCAAGGTGACATCTCATTGAAGGTTCGGATGACTTCGAAAGCGACAACGGTTGAGCTGTTGACGCTTCCCTTACAACTTAATCTCAATATCCAGCGCCTGGAAGAGGCCATAGGGTGGGTAGGTGGTCTGAGCACCATTTTGGAACTTGGAAGCTCCATTTCATCTAGTTCTTCGAGCAAGGGACCGAGCAAGGACACACCGAAGCGTCCTCGCGGAGTGCACTTTGAAAGCGGCCCTCCCCCGGCGACTGCACAGTCACCTGGAACAGTACCAGTCAAGGTGAATGCTCGAATTGGTGGCATTGCGCTGAACATCATCGGGG